ATTTTGTTCATCTATTCATCAGCTGATGGACATTTGGGTAAAACTACTTTTTGTCATTGTTTTGTTTGTACTTTTTACTGAATTTACTGGGGTGACACCGGTCAACAAGATTATACAGGTTTCAGGTGCACATTCTACAACACATCATCTGTACACTGTATTGTGTGTATTTAAAAGTAGTATTTTTAACACTACTTTTTAAAGTATTTTTTATAATTGATTTTACAGAAAGAGGGAGAGAGAGAGAAACAACAACAACAACAACAACAACACATTGATGTGAGAGAAACATTGATCAGCGCTTTCTGTACACACCGCACCCCAACTGGGGACTGAACCTGCAATCTGGGCTTGTGCTCTGATCAGGAATCGAACTGGTGACCTGTCACTGCACGGGATGATGCTCAACCAAGTGAACCGCACCAGCCAGGGCTCAAAAAACTATTTTTATATAAAGATTTGGAACTCCTTCTCTTGGCTATCTTCTTCTCAAGGTGCACTTTTGTCATCATGCCCACAAGGCATTAAATACGATGACAAATAAATAGGAAACTCACCAGTGTCATTCCTTTCTTCTGGGTACCACCTCCTGTCCAGTTACTGCCTGCTTCTGGTTACTCCCTAGGACCTTCAAATAGGTTTTCTTCTTCTTCCAATATCTTGTGAAGAGTGTAATTTCATTATTTGCAGGAAAGCTGGCCTAATACCATCACAGTAGCAACCTCTGAGTGTCTGGCCTGGGACCTTTTCTATAATTTCCTTTTGGGAAACTCTCTCTCTAACCTTGGTTTCAAGGATGAGAATCCTGCCTGGGCCAATGAAAATATGACATTCTCCCTGACCACCATGACTGGTTCAGGAAGAAAGCTGTGACCCAAGTCTGGACAAAAATCAATTTCAGATCTTTTGCTGGAGCTATGTGCAAAGAGATACTACTGCCTTTCAGTTGTTGGTTAAGAGAGTAGCATGAATGCCTGGAACTGATAAGGCTTTTGCCTGCCTGAGAGAGAAACCAACATGGAGGAAAGCAGAGCGCATACAGAAAACACTGGTGACAGTTTAGTTGTCTGGATATAGCTGTGCCTGAAGCTGGTACACCCAGGCCTCTTCAGTTAAGAGTCAATAAGCTTGTCCTGATCGGTTTGGCTCAGTGGATAGAGCGCCGGCCTGCGGACTCAAAGGTCCCGGGTTTGATTCCGGTCAAGGGCATGTACCTGGGTTGCGGGCACATTCCCAGTAGGGAGTGTGCAGGAAGCAGCTGATCGATGTTTCTCTCTCATGAATGTTTCTAACTCTCTATCCCTCTCCCTTCCTGTCTGTAAAAAATCAATAAACTATATATTTTTTTTAAAAAAAGAGTCAATAAGCTTAATGGAGCTTACACAAGTGATTCTCATTTAAACCTTATAGCAATCCTATACCCTTTTTCCCCTGGGCTAGTGTCCAGGTTAGCTTTTTCTCACCTGCAACTGAGAAGTTTGGCCACACTAAGTGTACCTAAGAGGTAACACTTAGGTACAAAGGTTGCAGGAAGGAAGCATATAACTGCTAAACGCCCAGCATAAAACAACACTCTGGCCCTCAACCGGCAGTCAAGGCCTCATACAAATCCAAACATCCTATACGTAAACCACTCTAAAATTAATCCCACAGGGCGTAAGACAATACATACAAGCTTTGTTCTGAATCAAAGGGAAGAAAGGTATCTAAAACACTACCCTCAGACCCCATACCCTCAACCCAGCCACCATCAATAAGAATCTGCATTCATTAATCGTTTTTTTTTTTTTTTAAGTTAAGGAGAGAATAACATTCCCCCACTTTGGACCTTCTGTAATGGAGCTTACACAGGTGATTCTCATTTAAACCTTATAGCAATCCTACAGCACACCCTCTTTCTCTCTAGGGCAGCGGTTCTCAACCTGTGGGTCGTGACCCCTTTGGCGGTCGAACGACCCTTTCACAGGGGTCGCCTAAGACCATCCTGCATATCAGATATTTACATTATGATGCATAACAGTAGCAACATTACAGTTATGAAGTAGCAACGAAAATCATTTTATGGTTGGGTCACAACATGAGGAACTGTATTTAAAGGGCCAGAAGGTTGAGAACCACTGATCTAGGGAAACTGAAGTTCAGATAGGTTAAGTTATACTAGGTCACTCAGTCAGGAAATACTGGTTATTAAGCTGGGATTCCAAGGCTGAGAACTCTAAAATTTATGCTCTTCCTTCCAATTCTGTTTTGTCACAACTTCACATATTCAATAGCAAAAGAAATCATGGAAACAGAAGCAGCTGCCACTGTAAACTACCAATCATCTGTTCGGTTATTATGATTACACTGATGGTGATTTACTGTGGCATCTGAAAAAAAACGGTAGAAAATTAATAACAGCTATTCCTTATTGAGTACCTACCATGTGCTAAGCATGTTTACGTAGATTATCCTATTTAACCCTCCTAACAATCCTGCAAAGAAAGTACTATTCATTGAGTACTGTGGAGATGTAAGTGACTTTATCCAGGTCATGCAAGTAGGAAGTGGCAGAAGTGGGATTTAAACCCAGATTTGTCTGACTCTAAACTTAAGCCTTATGGGCTCAAACAGCCCTTATTATCATCAACACCCAACTCACCAAACTACCTTCCACTCCAGGGATATAGTGACTACAAATCCTGAAGTGACCGAAATTAAGTATGTTTTTCCAATGCAGACAATTCATCAAAAATCTAAATGAACCCTAACAGGTTTGGCTCAGTGGATAGAGCGTCGGCCTGCGGACTGAAGGGTCCTGGGTTCGATTCTGGTCAAGGGCATGTACCTTGGTTGCGGGCACATCTCCAGTGGGAGGTGTGTAGGAGGCAGCTGATCGATGTTTCTCACTCATCGATGTTTCTAACTATCCCTCTCCCTTCCTCTCTGTAAAAAATCAATAAAATATAAAACAACAACAACAACAATAAAACCTTTGTATACAAATTTAGAAATAAGAAAAAGAAAAAAAAGGCTTGTCACTTACTATGTCTCTGCTTCTAGCTCCAGAAAGTTGGTCACTAAAAACTCTGGACTGCGATGGACCCACCCACTGAGAACAGGGTGCCTTGTGGTTGGGCCAGGTATTTATTAAGTGGACACTGTGGTCTATTAAACACTTCCAAGACATTGCTTCGTATCCTGGACAGCACTTCTCAATCAGATCTACCTGTCCTAGTGTCCCTACCCTACAATACCCACACCAAACAATTCCAGCGCCCCCATCCCCAACAAGCACAGACTTCCATACTTCCGTTACGCCTGCCCGGACGGTTATGCTTCCCTGAAATGCCCTTAATTCTTCCCCTTCTTCTCCGCTGGATCTCGAAAATTTACTCATCATTCAGGGTTCAAATCAAAAGGCAGCAACGTTAACAGTTTACAGCAGTACTGGCCAACCCTTTCCACACCACGGCGCACAGAGAACATGGTAATATTTGTATGGTGCACTGGGGTAAAGAACAAAGCAGCTCACAGCCAGAAATGACTGGCAGGGGGATCTGGCTGCCCCAGGCCCCTCGTATGCCCCAACACCAAGCGGAATCAAACGTCCAAGCACCACACGCAAACTTTCATTCTTATTCTTGTCACACATACACGGAAAGACTAACCGTTTCACTTACTTGTCTCTCCTGCCAAACCATGAGCTCTCAGCAGAATGGGATGCAATTTTGTTCACTTTCCATTCCCAGCAACAAACACAGGGTCTGGCAGCTACTAAGTCCTCAGAAACAGATTGGTGAACTGAATCCTGGCAACCTCTTAATACGGTCTTTCAAGTGATAAGCAGCAGCAATTCTGAAGCTGGGCTATTCAGGATCTTCTTCCCGACTGCAGAAAATAGTAGTTGCTACCAACATACTCTAAGAGGGATTGTCTACTTCCCACCTATGGAGACGAGGTACTTCCCTTTTATAAATTCACTAGAGGCCCGGTGCACAAAATTCGTGCACTTGCGAGTGGAGGGTCCCTCAGCCGGGACTGTGAACCCTCGGGGGATGTCTGACTGCAGCGGGCCTAAGCCAGCAGTCGGACATCCTTATGCTGCCGCGGAGGCGGGAGAGGCTCCCATCACCACCGCTGCTCTTGCCAGCTGTAAGCCCAGCTCAGGGCTTCTGGCTGAGCGGTGCTCCCCCTGTGGGAGCGCACTGACCACCAGGGGGAAGCTCCTGCATTGAGCCCCCTGGTGGTCAGTGTGCATCATGGCGCCGTTCGGTCGATTTGCATATTAGCCTTTTATTATATAGGATTCATTTACCAATATTTATCAAGCACCTACTCTGTGCCAGGCCTGTGGGCTATAAAACAGTGAGAGAGACAAACAGTCCAGAAAGAAGCACAGACATTCAACAAATAGTTCCATATATGTCTCTGTAGATGAAATAAATGTTCTAAAAGGGACATCTACAACAGAGTACAGTTAAGTAGATAAATCTCAATAATGACAGAGAATATCAGAGAACTGAAAACACAAATTTTCAGGCAGAAAGAACCAACCAAGTGCCAAAGAGACTATCTACCATCCAATACCCAGTTGTGAACTTTCAAAGCCTCAAGGATAACTATGTGCTGGCAGGTTGATGGAGGAGGAGAGAGGAGACGCAAAAGACACCAAGAATATAACTCAAGGTGTTTGGCCTGGGGAACCGGAAGAAAGGGAAGACGGGGGAAGGTGAAGGGCAAAACCCAAAATTTCAGATATTTAAGAGGTGCCCCGTGAGAGCTGAAGAAAAACCTGGAGTCCAGGGTGGAGCACTGGGTTTGAAGACAGACATCTGAGGGTTGTCACAAGAGGTGGCATTTATATTTAAAGCCTCGAAAACGGTAACTGCTCGGAAGTGAAAGCAGGGGAGAGATTAGGAGGAGGCCGTAGGCAAGCATTACAGCAAGAGGGCGAGCATCAGCAGGAGAGGCCAGGGCGCCGAGGCCAAGGAGGCCAAGGACGAGAACGTCCCCCTCACCAAATGCAGAAGGTGTTTCACGAGGGGGCGGTGACCAGCTGCATCAACTACTGCGCTGGGCCTGAGACCCAGCGCACTTGGGGGCCTCTGGATGGCTGGTGGCCTCGGGAAAGAGCGGGTTTCAGCGGAGCGGACCGGGCCTGACGGGGGCGCTGCTAGTGAGTCAAGACTGAAGTTGTGGCTGCAAACGGAGGCAGTTGAGGGAAGGCAACTGGAGGTATATGGTGGGGGAAGGAGGTTGTTTTGTTAGGAGGGGCGCGTCTTGACAATATAATAAAACCGCCCGAGCTCGGAGCCCACCTCAGCCCTCGTCTTCTCGCCCCCGGGCGGAGGACCCCAGCTTTGCGGCCTCCGCACCAAACTCCGCCCACTGCGCCTTCCCATCTTCGCGGGACCTGCTGCGCACGCGCAGACCCCAAGGACCCGCGCGGGGCCCTTCCCCCTCCCGAGCCCCGCCTCCTCAGGGAGACCAGGCGCGTGCGCACGGCCTCTCGGGAACCGCCTCGGCCAGGCCGGGAAATGGGGAGGCAGTGGGAGGACCCCAGCCCTACGTTCCCGCCACTCTCCCCGGGTCTCAGATCGGGTCCCAGCCCCACCTACCGGTCCACGGGCGGGACAAGCGCTGGAAACTGCGAGGGCGGGTGTAGGCGCGTCCCTCGAATGCTTTTCAAAGCCTGTAGGTAATAACTCGCTTGCGTTCGAAGATTCGCGGCACCTCGAGAACCATGCTTTTACCCTTTTAAGAGCCGAGTCGCAACGCGGAGGACCCCTTTACGCGTGCGCCGTCCATTTTATGTGACGTGCCGCGCTGCCCCTTGGGAAATGTAGTTTTTATTTACCCATTCCCGACTCTTCCGCTCAACCTCATTTTAACAAACTGAGGTCCTTGCGTGTTTTCAGCATCCTTTCCCATTCTCCAAAGCCTCTGTAAAAGAATAATTAAAAATAAAAAACATTAAAAAAGAATATTGTTGAGGGGGAGCAGTGGGTATATGAAAACTCTTGTTTTCTGCCTCAATGTTGCTGAGGACAAAAAATTCTAATTTTTAAAAAATAATTTTAAAACAAGCAAGTCTGTAGACACAGATATCGAGTCTTTAGGGAATCTTCGCAGGAACATATTAAGGATGTGAGCAAACATTTGCCTATAATGGTTTACATGCTAGTATTTCATAATTTCTTACATAACCCCTACCAAAGTTTATTACATATTTATCTGTTTGAATATTTGGTACTCTGGCCAACTCAGTGAGGTGAGGATCATTGGTTTTGTTCACCTATGTATTCCCAGCACCCAGTACAGTGTCTGGCACATAATAGGCCCTCAATATTTTTGTATTCATTAGAAAAATCTCAGACTTCAACACAAACTGTTTCTGCCCAAAACTTCATGCATCATTTTCATCCACCAGCTTTTTTTATTTTTCCCCGTGGTGTCTATCTCAATGGATGACTTGACCTTTTACCCAGTCTCAGCCCTATATCCTGCATTTTAGAGACTTATGCCAGCAGGGATTTCACAAAGTTTGCATTTGTAAAGGTCTCAGGAGCCATTTCTCCTGCACCTCATGCATGTCAAATATGGACCTTAGTTGCTCCACAGAGATATTTGGGACTCAGTAATTTGTTTGAATTTATCTCTTACGATGTTTCTACAACAAACCTGTTTACTTGATTACTTTTTTAAAAGATATAACGTCTTTATTTTATTTTTTAAAATATGTTTTAAAAATTGACTTTATAGAGAGAGGCAGGGAGAGGGATAGATAGAAACATCGATGAGAGAGAAACATCGATTGGCTGCCTCCCACATGCCCCACACTGGGGATTGAGCCTGAAACCCAGGCATGTGCCCTGACCAGGAATCAAACCGGGGACTTCTTGGTTCATGGGTCAACACTCAACCACTGGGCCACACCGGCCGGGCTTGATTAATTTTTAAAAAGTGTTTTTTTAGAGTCTTGTCCACATGTAAGGGATAACTCTGTCTTCCCCTTCCTATCCACATTCCTCAAAAAAGAATTGTGGGTCCTCACTTCATTTTTTCACCTCCCACTTGGCAACAATAGCCCAATCCAGCACCTGGAAGTTCTCCTTGACACCACCCTCTCCCTTTCCTTACATATTCGATCCATCACTAAGTGTCTGCAATATAAAAATAAGAACAGTTCACATTTGTTGGGCACTTACTCTGTATCAGGCACTGTTGAAATGCGTTACATGTATTCATTGGTGTAACATACTCAATCCACTTTTCATCTCCACCACATCCACCCTAGTCCAAGGTGCCTCCACGCTGTCCTGAACAACTGCGAAAGCTCCTTATTTTTTAAAATCCTGGATGCAGAGTTTGAACTACTCATTTCTCACTATAGCACAGTATCATCAGGGCTCTGCAAGGCCTCTCTCCTGTTTTATGTGTTTACAGCCTTTTATCTCTTTTCTCCACTCCTGTCACCTTCCCCAATGGTGTATGGGAGTGTCTTTGGAAAACATGTGTGGTGTTTAGTGTGAGTGTATTTTTAACTTACCTAAATGGTATTGTGCTATAAACCTCACTCTATTTCTTACTCTTTCTACTCAGCACTATGCTTTTAAGACCTGTTCTTATTGCTATGTATATACTTAGACTGTTACTTAGAACAACTGTGCAATATTTCATAGTGGACATCCACATTTTAGTCATTCAGATTTAGGGTGGTGGACCTGCCACAGCGAACACCTCATGCATGCCCCTTGTGGCCTATGTGGGTATTGGGGGGGGATGTATATCCACTACAGTGGTTCTCAACCTGTGGGTCGCGACCCCTTTGGCGGTCGAACGACCCTTTCACAGGGGTCATCTAAGACCATCCTGCATATCAGATATTTACATTACGATTCATAACAGTAGCAACATTACAGTTATGAAGTAGCAACGAAAATAATTTTATGGTTGGGTCACAACATGAGGAACTGTATTTAAAGGGCCAGAAGGTTGAGAACCACTGCACTAATAGGTCTGAATAATAGCCTCTTACATTTTCTCTCCTCGTCCATTCTGGCTAGAGAAATCTTCTTAAAATGGAGTGTGTTCATGTTCTGGCACCCCTGTCTCCCGGTCCAGCTCCTCCTCTTCCAATCTGTTTCAGCCTTCTCAGTCTTCTTCGGGTCTCACACCTGCCATGTCCCCCTACATGGCCTCCGCAAAGGCTGCCTGGCGCACATTTCCCTCCCCTTCCCCTCCATATGTCCTTCTCACCTTCAGATCTCCCTGACTAGGCCAAACCCCTCTGTTACAGTCACTCAAAGCAAGTGTGGATTTCCTGCAGTTGTGACAATTATTTTACATTTGTGACATAATTTGATGCATGTCTGTCCTACCCCTCATCCCCTACATTACAAACTGCATGAAGGCTAGGCTCATATCTGTTTATGTGCATCATTGTATCTTTAGTACTTAGCCTAGTGCCTGGTGAATAATATAAATATTTATTAGATGGAAGAGTAAATGAGGAAGTAATCTCTGCCCCAGGAGGGCTATTGAGGGGGCAGCATCTTGGTCGGGTGACTGCTATAGAATTTGGTTTGCAGTTCGGCAGGACCAGAAATTCCATTTTGTCAGCAGTCTCTCAGGATGCAACTCACAAGAGATCAAGGTATAAACCAGGAGTCTGCTGAGTCATATGTGGAGCTGACCAGAACTCCCTTTGCCTGGGCAGCACAGTTCCTTCCTGTGAGAGAGCCACAGCATAGCAAAGACATCTGGGACTTCCTGGCCTATTCTTTTTTCTTTTTTTTTTTAAATCCTCACCTGAGTGGGAGGGAGAAAAACAGAGAGAGAAACATCGATGTGTGAGAGACACATCTATTGGTTGCCTCCTGCACATGCCCTGCACATGCCCTCAGCCTGCAACTGAGGTACATGCCCTTGAACAGAATTGAACCTGTGACCCTTCAGTTTGCAGGCTGACGCTCTATCCACTGAGCCAAACCGGCTAGGGCTTCCTTGTCTATTCTTAAGTTTTATTGCTTCACATCATCACATCTGAAATGCTTTTCCAAAGAGCCTTGAAAAGTCACAGGGAGCTTCACTGCAGGTCTCTTGAGGATAGGAGGAGGGGGTTACATTGAATAACTTCCTAATTATCCCTTTACAAATCCCTCCCTTCACAGAGTTCCATTGCTGAGGGCAACACGCACATCACTTCCTCCTCTTTGCTTTCTAGGACTTCAGAATTGGCTTTCTGCCTGGGGCTTCATACACCTTACACGTAAAGCCAGCTAGCCATCTCTCAGCTTGTCCCTATTCATGCGCACCCGTCATCCACTTGGGAAGAACAAAGACGGCTCTCTTTTAGGATCTGACCTCCCATGGAAGGCAGGTGGGGGAAATTGTAACTATTTACATTTAATGGTATTTGTCCCCAACACATACAACAGAAGCCATATCAGAAGGCAGTATAGTATGCTTGGAACCCAGTGGAGGAAAGGGATGAAATAAATTAACCCTTAAAAATTGCCTTTCGCCCTGACTGGTTTGGCTCAGTGGATAGAGCGTCGGTCTGTGGACTGAAAGGTCCCAGGTTCGATTCCGGTCAAGGGCATGTACCTTGGTTGCGGGCACATCCCCAGTAGGGGGTGTGCGGGAGGCAGCTGATCGATGTTTCTCTCTCATCGATGTTTCTAACTCTCTATTCCCTCTCCCTTCTTCTCTGTAAAAAATCAATAAAATATTTAAAAAAAATTGCCTTTCCCCACCACTTCTAATATAGGTGTACACTGTGAAAAAGTCAAACACCGCAGAGATCTAAAATCTATAATGGAGGAAGTAAAAGTTCTCTACAACCCCAGTCTAGGATATAACCGTATTCTCCACTCCACAGATGTGTAGGGAGAGTTGAGTACACATCCCATTGCTCTCCCCTCCAGCTGTGCCCCACTCTCCCACCACCTACTCAACCTGCAAGGAGCTGGTCATCCCTGGCAAGAGATTAGTTGAATAGATTTTCCTCTGTAAGGATGGAGTGATGTTTCAGACTGAATAAGCCACCAAGCAGTACTCCAAGATCACCCTGATGGATCCCACAGATCCTCTTGACATTCCTCAGGATGCCACCTTTGAAGACCAGTCCTCCATAGGGGCCCCCAAGAGCACATCACCATCCAGGTGTGGTCTACTGAAAGTCAACTAAAACACATGAAACCTTGGCATTTATAGGGTCAAGGGTTGTCCAGGAAACCTTCATCAAAAATTAGTGAGAAAAAGGTGAAGGGATTAAGCAAAAAGTAACACGCGCGCGTGC